CACCTGTCTGAACCTCCCTTCAGGAGCTGTGGAGAGCAATGAGGGCACCTCTGAGCCTCCTCTTCTCCAGGCTGAACAACCCTAACCCGTGCTTTCCCTGCCTGGTTTTTCACTCAGATCGATATTCTTGAGAATCAGGGGGTGTGTCTGTGTAAATTGAGGGTGACAGATGCCCTGGAACCTTTTTGGGGCAGTCTCGATGCTTCCAGGCTGAGCTGCAGCGTGGTCTGGAATCCAGCATCCTCCTGCTGCTCTCACTTGATGTTTTGAGCCATTTGATGCCTTTCCAGCAGCTCTTTTAAAGGTTGCTCACAAGTTTTGAAGGCTTTTGTGGACTTTTAGCAAATACATCAGGTGATAACATTGATGGAGGGAGCTTGGGGCTGAGCACACACCAGGGCTGGGGAGGCAGCCTGGCCAAAGCATTGAAATGGGCCCAAGTGAAATGTGGGAACCATTGCAAAGTGGTTGGATTTGGATTCCCTCTCTTCTTCCTCGACTGGAGATGTCTCAAACTGCCCCAGCTTCACAGAGCAGGTGCAAACCAAAATGTGCCAACAGCATGTGGGTGTTCTGTGGTCCTGGAACCACAGGAGAAATGCCAGGACACTGCTGCTATTCCTTTATTTCATTTAGTCCCATTTTATTAAATGGAGTTTGGGTTCTCGTGACTAAAATTAAAATAAAATGGAATATTGGTCCAAGACAGATTTACACTTTGTTAAAAACTTTATATATATTGAATGGAACCTGGGCTCTCATGAATGAAATTAAAATAAAATGGAATATTGGTCCAAGGCAGCTTCACACTTTGTTAAAACCTTTATATAAGGATGACTAAATCCAGGTTCTTCATTTACGAAGATATTTTAATTGTCATTATTCCCCCGAATGCTGATATTTGTAAATGGCCATGTATCTTCAGCTCGATGAGGAATTGCACCCTGAAGCCCCAGAGTCATTTTGCTGTGGTCTGTCTGTGATGCTCAGACCCCACAGGCCCCCGAGCAGTGGAAAAGCAGCTGTGCTCACATTATTTTTATTTCTGGAGGTCAGCTTGGGGGAACCGAAATATGATCTGCAGACTTTGGTTTTTAAAAAAATTTTTTTTTCTCTTTATTTTTTTTTTTTTTGGGTTACTTTGCTTACTTACACCGGAAATTCTGAATAGGTATATTTGTCAGCTTTTACAGTAAATTTCTTCTTTCCCATCCCCCAAACCTGGAGCCTGAAACCACCATCCTTCCCCACCCTAATTCTGCAGGGAGGCCCTTTGATGAGTTGGGGATGAGCTGCTCCCCAAAATGTTCATTGCTGCCACTCCAGCACCTCTGGCAGAGCTCAGATTTGTGGAGTTGATGTTTTCAGAACACCAGAACTCTTTATTATTTGCACTCAAATAAATTAATACCAATTAAATTGAAAAAGCAAAGCGTGAATTGTATTAAAAGCCCTTGTGGATGCTTGTATGGAGACTTAAAGAACATTTATTCTCATTTAAAGTTTCCTTTTGAAAGCCACAGGATTCAAAGGAATGAAAAAAAACTGATTTAAAGAACCAAAAAGGATGTCCACAGAAAGCAAAAGTAGATCAGGCAAAGGCTGGAAAATCATCTTTGCTTCAACTACTCTTTAAAAGTAAAGTATTTCCTTAATGTGCATAACAAAGGCAACATTCAGTGCATAAATGGAGTTCTGTCTGGTCCCAAAAGAATTTATCGTGGCCAATCAAGATTTAATAATTAAATTATCTATAATGAGTTAATAGAAGAGCCAAGCTGAAGGGGAAAAAAAGTATTTTTGGAAAGAAATTAGAGCAGAAACGTTTATTCTGTTGAGTAATTTTTGTGGTGGATTTATGATCTCTGCATTTAGCACTCCATTTTTCTCCTCCCAGGAAGGTGCAACAGAAACATCTCAGCGTGCTCAGATGGGCAAGATGATCTGAGGTGAAATGATTCATTCTTGTAGGACACAAATCTAAATAAATGCTCCCAGGGTGGAATAATAGTTTAAAATTCAGATTGGAGCTGGGTAGCCACCTGTACCTCAAAACCAAAGGGCAGTTCCAATCTTTAAAAATGGAAAATTTACCCATTGATGTATTTGCACATCAAAGTGCAGTGGAAGGGCCAGGCAGGCACTTCTGCTATCGGTGGCTTTGCAAACAGCAGCCTTTGATATCCCCTGGCTTCCTTCTGCTATCGACTCCCTCCAAACACTCCACGTAAAATATGAGTTGTTAATTCTGGCTCTGGCAGAAATGTGCTTCCCCTGCTTTCCCTGCTCACACGGCTTTGGGAGAGGCTTTTGGAGCTGGCTGGAAACGTCATTCTTCAGAATGGAGCAGAATTTATGGGTGGGAGCTGGGAGGTTTTTGGGTGTGAGGTCTGTGATGTGTTGTCTCCTGTTTATCAACCTCCTGGCCAGGCTATGAGCAAAATTTGTTCAGAACTGAAATACAAATCTGGTCTAGGCTGGGACTTCAGCACCTGCTTGATCTCAAAATGAGATATTTAAGTCAAATTAATGATGTTTAAATAGTTTTTCAAGTGAGGATGTTTTCCTGATTTGGGTTGTTTGTATACCTTCTGCCTAAACAGTGAATATATTTCTTTTAAATATATAATCTCTGCTTTTTTATGTCCCTGACTGGCCAACAATTCTGGTGTGTCACCTTTTGGGTATATTTGGTCTGATTTTCCTTTGGGAAGCTGCTCCGCAGGACACACAGGAAAGGAAGAAGAAAATAAATGTGTTGTGGTATAGCCCCCAGGCTGCCGTGGGGATCTGGAGTCCCTGAGAGGAAAATAAATGTCACATAAATTTTAAATTTCTTTTTTTACCCCTCAGCTTCTGCCCCAGACCAGCAGCCACAGCCTCGCCCCTACCAAGGTGTGCGAGTGAAGGAGCCCGTGAAGGAGCTGCTGAAGAGGAAAAGGGGGAATGTCCATCATTCCAGCACAACTGCAGCTACAACGGTAGGGAAAAAACCAAACAGGAGGGAAATTCTCAGTGCTTGTGCTGAGGAAAGGAACCTTTGCATCCCTAAAGCATTCTGAAGGCCCTGCAGCCCGGTGTTACCTGGCAATGCCATTAATACCCCTTTAGTTTTTGGTGGGCTGAGCACCTTCCAACACTTATTAGAAAGGGGAAGGGCTTTGCAGAATTTGACTGCTGGGGACTGAAAGTGCCCTGGGAGGGAGGCAGCTTGTTCAGGGCTCTGAGAGACCATCCCGAGCCATCCCTGGCCCTTTGCTGCTCCTTTTCATCCTGCATTTGCCCTCCCAGCACCCGGCAGCTTGGCTGGCCCCTCTCCGGAGGAGAATTCTCTCTCTGCACGAGATCTCAACACACTTGAAGGTCTCCTTGAGCTGAAGGGACGTGGTGGGTGTTTGGGGTGTCCTTGGCTGTCAGGGTCAGTTCTTCTGGCCCTTTTTATGGGGTGGGAGGATTCAGAGCCTGGCATTGCTCATGCCTGGCGTGGTCTGTGTGCATGCAGCCTGGTCAGGCAGAGAGAAACAGCAATCGTTTCTCACAGTGCTTGTGAGAATTTTTAGGGAGCTGTAGGAATCACTTCTTAGTCTAAACCATCTGCAGGTGGTGTTTTTCCACCTTGCTTTTCTGTTCCTCTCAAGGACAGTGTGTGAGGAAGATGTTTTTATTAATTAACCAATCAAAATGTGCCGCGTCGGTCTATTTAAGCCAAAATTTTCCTTTCCATTAAAACCTCCTTTTCTTCCTTTTCACGCTGTGTCCTCTTCTGTTCTTGTGTCATTCTTGGTGCCAGGGTGACAGGCGTGTGCTTCTCTAAGAGAATTTAATGAATGTATTAATGAATTTAATGAATGAATTAATGAATTCAACGCTGATGGGCTTCACCTCTGATTTTTATTCTTTCTTCTCTCTTCCAGGTCGTTTTGCCCCATCAGCCAGTCCCTTCCTACTCACCCATGGGTAACGTATCCCTGCCTCTCCGGGGCTCTCCAGGGAAGGCTGTGCTGAGCTGGGCTTTAACCCTGTCCTGTTTTTCAGGCCAGCCTTGCCTCGACGTGGACGCTGCTGGCCCTGCTCTGCCTGGCCCAGAGGAAGGAGCTCTGGCCTCTGGGTGGATCCCCCAGCCCTCTCCCACCCCGCTGCAGCCCCTGGCTCAGTGGAGCCCTTACCCTGACTACGTGTCCCACGAGGCTGGCAGCTGTCCCTACACAGCAGATATGTACGTGCAGCCCGTGGGTCCCAGCTACACCCTGGTGGGACCCTCCTCCGTCCTCACTTACGCTTCCCAGCCTCTCATCACCAATTTTGCAGTAAGTCAAAACCACCAAGCTGGAAATGATGTTGATTCCCACCTTCTAGCAAGAGCTGTGGGGTGTAGTTAGGCTAATTTATTTAATTAATGTAATGTTGTGTGTCTTTCATCTATGCCATGTAGTTCCCAGCACAGTAATATGGTTTGAGCAGGGCAAAAAGTTGTGGTTGTGCTGGAATAAGGCAAAATTCACAACCTTTTTCCCAGCTCTCTTCACTCTTCCATTCTGAGCAGGAATTATTTCCTGAGCAGGAATTATTTCTGAGCAGAACCTTATTTCCAAGTTTAAAATTTAAAAAAAAAAAAAAAAAAAAAAGTCAGTGGAGTTCCAGGAAACATTGATCAGGTGAGGCAGGAAGGATGACTTGGCAATAAATTTCTCAGAAGTGGCTGCTAAGGGATAAAACACCAAGGTCAAAATATGTAAAGGTAGCAAAATATTTGGCTTCAGGCTCGACCAAATCTTCTTGGCTGACACCAGGTGATGCAGTCCCCTTTGGAGGGGAACAGAGAGCTCTGCTCCAATGACCTCGGGAGCTGCTTTTCCTTTCCCTGGTGCAGTTTGGCTGCTCAGGCACACCCAGCCAAACCTCCAAGGAGATTTCTGTGTCCTGGTGGCCCCTGGTGCTGAGGAAGGGCAGCGGGCTGGCTTTGGGATGTGGCTCCAGAGCCACACGGAGCTGCCTTCAGCCCTGCTGGCAGCAAAGCTGGGACTGTCCAGCACAGGCTGTGACAGGTCACAGCGTGGGTGTCACTGATGAGGCAGGACGGGAATGGAAAACACTCCGAGTCAGAAGCAAAGAAAAAAACGAAACTTAATAAAAAACAAAAAAAGAAAGAAAAAAAGGCCAAAATAAAAACAAATTAAAAACAAGAACACCAAAGGGAAAAGGGGGTGGGCCCAAAAGGAAAAAAACCCAAACCATTGGTGCCTTGGACTTTGGTCAATGTAGCAGAACATATCTATAAACAATATGAACAGAGAGAGAGATAATAATGGTTTACATTCCTTTCAAACTCTTGCCCAGGCTCAGCCTGGTGGAATCTCTCTCTTTTTCTCTCTGACTGAACTGAGAATATCCATAGGTGGGAATGGGGACAGAAAACTGGAGGGAGCCTGAGGAAAAATGTCACCCTCAGTGCCGAGCATCACCCAGAGAGGAAGGACAGGGGATGTCAGAAATGGGATGAGCACCCCCATCCTGCATCCCCCCCTGCCCCAGCAAGCCAATTCTCTCATTTTGCTCTATTTCTGTCCCCTTGCCCAGCCCCGCAGCAGCACCCCGGCCGTGGTGCCACCGCTGGAGGTGACGGAGCAGCAGCCGCCCCTGACCTACTTCCCGTGGGCACAGCCCCTGTCTGCCCTGCCAGCCTCCAGCCTGCAGTACCCTGCAGCCTCCTCCTCCTTCCCGGGGCCCCAGCTGCTGCCCGTGCCCATCTCCATCCCCGAGCCAGCCCCGCAGGAGCTGGAGGACGCCCGGCGAGCCATCGGCGCCCTGCCCATCGAGAAGCTGCTGCTGGAAGATGAAGACAATGATACGTACGTGTTAAGCCACGCTCTCTCTGTTGAAGGGCTTTAGGTTGCACATCTGGGTCCTGCTCCTCAGCAGCTCCCTGGGTTTTGAGTAGGGAGGAGAAGCAGGCAGGGTGGGGTGGGAATTTTAGCGCGCCGTGGTTTGTGCATTGAGGGAAATTTGCTTTGTCCTGGCGCCCAGCACAAGGTTCCTCTGCTGTCCCAGCTCCTGCTGCCTGTCCCAGGCAGGTCTGGATGCTGCACGCTTGTGCTCAGCACCAGCACCAGGTGATTTTCACCCTCATGGCCTCAAAATTCATTTGGTGAGGGTACAATTGCTTCTAAATATTGCCAAACCCCGTTCAATAGGGTTGCTTTTGTGTAAATGCCTTGTGACCTGTCCAGGGAGGAACTCTCACCAGATTTAAGCCACTAGAAAATGTTGAGGGGGCCCTAAATTGACGTTTTTCCTCTCCTAAACTTTAGTATTCCTTTGGAAATCAGGAAAACATAAAGTCTAGCTTTGATCTGCTGGTGTAGGTAGGTGCAGCAGTCTGAGAGAAATGCCAGAGCAGTCAGAGGTCCCTGTTTGCAGAGCAGGAATTCACACCCAGGTGTACCTGGAAGCTCTCCCCTTGTCTGCAGGTGTGGAGCAGTGGGTTGGGGTCGTGTTCTTTCAGCTGCAGAGGGGTTTGGGGCTCTGAAATATCCAGATTTGGGGTGTGGGGGTGATTTAATGGCTGGCTGGTAACGCTGCCAGTGGACAGATCCTGTCCCATGAAATCTCTGGGAGTTTGGTGTGAGTCAGCACTGCAATCCATGGCCCTAGACCAGGAGGTCATTGAGGAGACAGGGATTTTCCAGAACCTGGACTGCAGCCCACCAAGGACTCCATGGCACTACTGTTACCTGGCAATATTTTCGCTTTTCTGTAGAATTTGAGAGTGATGTGCTGAGCCAGGAACCTTAAGGAACCCCCCCTGGAAAACCCCCCAAGCCCAGAGGTGCACACAAGTCCTTTATGGCTTTCTGATTTCCTTCCCTGGAGAATGAGGAGCTTCACTTTTCCCTCTGATACAAGTGTAAATATTTTGGTTGAGGCTCAGGAGTGCCATGCACAGGCAAATATATTTCAGGAGATGCATCCCCTTCAAACCCTGTTTATTGTTTTCTTGACAAACAAGAGGCTCTTGGCTGGTGAACACAATTTCTCTGGGTTTTTCTGCTTTCTAAAGCCCAGGATTGTTAGATGATTTTAATATTTGCAAGACTAACTGCAAAATGATTTCTTGTACTCTTTATTACCTGGAGTCCAGTTGCCACCCAGGCAATATTTCAAGTGGCCTTACAGTTCATGCCTGAGTGAGGTTTGAAAACCCAGGTTGAAAGTCTTAAAGACTTTCCAAGAGTATTTTTCATTGAATATTGACAAATGTGGAAGACACGAGCACTAGATCATGTAAGTGATTGGAAAAGAGCAGTAGTTGAGGTTTGCATTGAAATCAGTGGCTTACATTTGCAGAAAAACCCAGCAAAGAAATTAATTTAAAGGAGCTTAATCCACCACTGCTTCCTCCAGTTTTATGAAATTCAAAGACATTCCCTAGGTAAGACTGGGATAAAGCAGTTGTGAATCAAGCCCGTGGTTGCTCTGATTGCTTTTCAATTCCTTTCACTCCAATGTATGTAAATTCTGTGTGTGAACATAAAACAAAGATGAAACTGTTTCATCATTTCTTTCTGGGTTGTTCTGGTTAGAAAAAAAAAGAAAAATTCTTTTTTTTTTTTTTTCAATAAAGATCTACAGTAACTTTTCTATGCCTAGAGTGTTTTATTTCCTATCCACGAGCGTTGGTTTAGCAATCAATTAGTTCAATAATATATGTACAGGCTAGAATCAGAGATTAGCTGTCAGACTTTGTGCTGATTTTACACATTAAGCAGACTAAGAAGGAATTCCTTGATCCAGCTGTGGCCTGGAGGCATTTCCTGCAGCAGTCCTTGCTCCTGCAGTTCAGCTTCAATCACTCTCATCCTCTCCTGGCACCCTTGGGGATGTGTGGGTGTGCAGCCACAGCTCGTGCAGAGCTTGGCTGAAAATCAGGTTAGCCAGAAAATTGTATTTCCACTTCCTGAGATTGCCAGGGGTGGCTCTGGGGTACAAAACTGCCCCAGGAGAGAAACAACTGCCCACCACCTTCTGCCTGAAAAGCATCAAATATTTCTGTCTTGAGCAGAGTAAGCCAGGGGTTGGTGTGACCCTGCATGGGGTGGGCTCCTCCTGCTTCAGGAGGTTGGAATTTCCTTCAGGTGGGACCTGGGGGAATGGAAGTGGCTCCAGCCAGAGCCAGATGAGCAAAGTGAAGCAGAGAAGTGTTCCCCCCATCACTAAGGGCCACTCCCGTGGGCTGTGCCAACTCTTTGTCTTGTGCAAAATATAAGGAGTGTGTCCCTCTTACCGGGAGTTTTGATAGAAATTAGAGTTTAACAGGTTGATCTATTACAAATCCATCAGTTAGGGAATTTAACAGGTTGATCTATTACAGATAGATCAATTAGGGAATTTAACAGGTTGATCTATTACAAATCCATCAATGAGGGAATTTAACAAGTTGATCTATTACAGATACATCAATTAGGGAGTTTAACAGGTTGATCTATTACAAATCCATCAATTAGGGAATTTAACAAGTTGATCTATTACAGATACATCAATTAGGGAGTTTAACAGGTTGGTCTATTACAAATCCATCAATTAGGGAGTGCTTGTTACCCTGGCTGCTGAGGTTTCACCAACACACCCAGAGCAGTATCACCCCAAAAAGTGATTTATACATGCAATTCCCCAAACTGGGAATGGTGGAGGACTTTGACACCTCCCAGAGGTGAATCTCAGCTGCAAGAAGGTGCTGAAGTGGGAAGGAGGCATCAGGCAGAGCTCAGGAGTGCTGAGGGCTCTTGGACACTGCAGCTCCTGGAGGTATGAAGCCCTAAAACCAGGGTGAAACCCCCTCATGAGGTCTCTGTCATGGCAAAAAATTGTGTCCAGACCCAAGGCAGCAGAAGAGAGATGAGATGTGACCCTGCAGGCAGGGGCAGCCCAGGCACAGCCTCCAAAATGAGGCACATTTTTCACATTTCCCTTCAAAACCTGACTGAGATGAGCAAATCTTTGCTTCCCTGTTGCTTCATGGATTTCTCTGCAGACAGACCTAAGCTCTCTGCCAGCCCCGAAAAACAAATCCACACTTTCCAACAGGCCCTGTGAGCATTTTGGGAAGGGATTCCACAGCAGGGATTAGCCCCAGGGATTATGGGCCAGAAAATGAAATTAATTAAAAAACCTGCCTTGAGCCGTGCCAGGGGCTGAGCACAGGCAGAGTTCTGGGAACTTTTGGGCTTCGTGGCACAGATTTGTGGAACCCTGGGTGGAAAAGCCCAAAAGTGGCAGTGCTAGCCTGTAAAACTGTTTGCTCCCAGCGTGGTCCATCAGTGATGGGTGTCTTTATTTGCTGTCTTAGAATTCTGCATATTTATGCAGCTAAAGGCCTGCGGGCCCACACGCTGGCAGCTGCAGAGCGCATGAGAGCCCTGAGGAGACTCGATGCCAAGGAGCACAGAGGAAAGGTAAAAAAGGGACAACTTTCTCCTGCAGGCACCAGGGGTTGGGATGGGAGCAGGCTTGGCATGGCTGACAGCAAAGAAACCCTAAAAAAAAATCCAGCTCTGCCCCTCTGACAGGCTTCACTCGTGGGCAGGATTGTAAAAGTGTAATTCAGTGGCAGGGTTGTAAAATTCAGTGGCGTGGTCATAAATCACCAGGGATGAGAGTGAGCCCGTTCTTTTTTCAGCCCATGATTCATGGAGGGATGTGAGAAAACACTGGTCCAGCAAAATATTTGTGTGTTGGCATCCAGTCTCTGAGGAGGAAGGGTTGGCAGCTTGTTTTACAGACTTGTTCTGTACCTGGTGCAATCGGGGTTTAAAAAAGGCTGGGTTTGGGTTGCCATCAAATTAAAGGCTGAAGAAGACCAGAGGGAGTCCAGCAAGAGCTGGAAATCCCCATCTCGTGTGGGATTCCAAACCATCCTGTGAGCTGTGCTCACAGCCTCCAAAATGAGGCACATTTTTCAGATTTTCCTTCAAAACCTGCCTGAGAGGAGCAAAATTCTGAAATCCTTGGGATTTCAGCCAGCACTTTCCCCACTCCTTCTTTTACACCAGCAGCTGCTGCCTTAGGATTTTAGCTTTTATATTTTTCATATATTTATAATCCTGCAATTGTTCAGTGTGTAACTCTAAAGCTTCATAGCCTGGCAGCTATTGTTCTCCCATTTTATTCAGACAAAACAATTCCTCTGTAGGCCTGGAACTCAAGAACACCTCAATGTCTCAGTCCAAAAAAATATTAACAAAAGTGAGTTGGAGAGGGGGAGCAAACTGGGAGTAAATTACTTCATTACCTGAAGCTGTAATTGGAGGATTAACCCAATATATAACATATGTAAATGGACAAAACTTATAATTGTCTAAAAAACTTGTGACCATCTTGGGTGTAGGCCATCTCATGACCTCTGGGAGGTTTTTGACTGCCCAAGGTGTACCTAATAAATAGGGTGTGTTTAATAAACACCCACTTTTATTGTGTTAATCTTGTCCAGCCTCTGTTTTGGGTGTTAGTGTGAGGTCTCAACGCTCTCTGCTGCTGTTGCAGACTGCCCTGCTGGTGGCTGTCACTGCCAGGCAGACGTTCATCGTCCACGACCTCATCCAGGCAGGAGCAGATGTCACCGCCGTGGACAACAAAGGGCAGTCAGCTTTACACCTTGCTGCAACTTATGGCTACAGCCAGGTCCTCCAGGTAGGGCAAGCTGGATGGATTTCATTGCTGGCAGGATAAAAATGCAACCAGGTGTTGATGTTGGTGTCTTTAAATAAAGGTAAGATCTCAGTTTTGAGAATCCAGAGCTTCCCTCTGGCTGACCTGGGACCCTGGCAGGGGTCAGGAACCCCCCTGGACAGAGCCCCCAGAGACACTGGCTGTGATCTCTGCCCATGGAAAAGAGTTTCCAATCTTACAGGATCAATTACCAGCTCTGAGTGTTTGATATCAGTAATAATTAAGTGTGGCACGGGTGCAAAAGTAAAATTTTAGGGTTCCAGATGAGGGGTCCAAAGGGACAAGATGGAGGAAATTGGGTGTGCCTTGTCCTTTTTCTCCTTCTTCATGCCCTCCATGTCTCACTGTGGTGTTGGCATTTTTCTGTTGGTTCAGGCTGGGGACACACTGTCCAACGTAGGTGACAGATATTGGCACGTTCTTGTAAATGCAGCCCAGGGAGTTTCTGGTATTGAATGTTTGTCACATCCCACTGAGGGCAGAGCCCCACACGCTGCCCTGCAGGACAGAGCTGGGCAGGGCAGCAGAACATGTGAGAGATCAACAGAATAAACAACCTGGAAACCAGCACAGACCAATTCTGGCTTCTGCTTTGGCAGGGGGCTGACAGACAGAGACTTTCTACAATCTCAGAATCATCAATACCACAGATTCTGACATGTTGGCAGTATAAAAATGCAATCAAGGATTGATGTTGGTGTCTTTAAATAAAGGCAAGATCTCAGTGAGTGATGGAGGCTCCTTGTGTCAGGGATTGATTTCCCAGGGTGGGTTTTATCCTTTTTTTAGGGCTGTGCTTGCAGCCTGTTGTTACAGAGGAAATTTCTTTAGTGGCTCTGTGAGGGGAAAGAAATTCTTTCTGCACATTACAGCTCTGCCTGTAATCTGCAGAAAGATTTAATTTAGAGCAGATTACAGCTCCAAATGTGCTGGTGGCAGTCCCCAGTGTGGCTCAGCACTGGAGGGCATTCCCCAGCCATGAGGTGTGAGCAGAGGGAGCTCTAAAACCAGGGTGAAACCCCCTCATGAGGTCTCTGTCATGGCAAAAAATTGTGTCCAGACCCAAGGCAGCAGAAGAGAGATGAGATGTGACCCTGCAGGCAGGGACAGCCCAGGCACAGCCTCCAAAATGAGGCACATTTTTCACATTTCCCTTCAAAACCTGACTGAGATGAGCAAATCTTTGCTTCCCTGTTGCTTCATGGATTTCTCTGCAGACAGAACATGCACCTGAGTTCTGTGCCAGCCTGAACAGCAAATCCACACTTTCCAACAGGCCCTGTGAGCATTTTGGGAAGGGATTCCGCAGCAGGGATTAGCCCCCTGTGAGTTTTAAATGCTTCACTATGGGCCAGAAAATGAAATTAATTTAAAAACCTACCTTGAGCTGAGTCAGGGGCTGGGCACAGGCAGAATTTGGTGGTTCTGCTGAGCTCCCCGAGGGCAGGGGACAGGGGTGAGGTGCCAGGGGGTGCTGGCACCACGTCCAGCATTCGTTAGCTGTGCCCACACGTGCCCCAAGCGGGCAGTTAATGTGTAACACAGCCAGTTCTCTGGAAAACAGGTGTTTCCTTAAGTGGGAAAAAGGCTTTTCATCCAGGTGATGCCAACAAAGCCTCGCAGGGTGCCTTGTGGTGCTTTGGATTGCAAGGTTCCTTTGTTTGGGTTTTCTTTTGTGTTATTCTTTCTTCTTTTTTTTTT